TATGTTATATTAGTGCTGTTTTAAAGGTTAGACTATTCACACTCATTAGCAGAGGAAGAAAATGCTGCATTAATACAATGTTTAAGACCCCTCTGACAACTGAGAAAAGACTGTCAAAGTGTCAGAACTACTATAATACTGTTACAATAAATACATTCAAATAAAGGAGAAAATTGTTAAATTGAAAGGTTGGTCATTTTATTGCACTTGATTGCAGCTTATGGAATCTCTACTATAACAGTTGGAATGGTACCTCCATCCCTGTAGTGCAAGAGAAACCATTGCTTCATTAATGACCTGAGCATTCCAGCAAATGAAACATTAGTGATATGTGAAGATAAGAGATTACAGAGTCGATTACACAGACGAGACAGCACACCAGGCTATTTCCACTCAATTTTTTCACTGTACATCACTTTCAAGAACAAATCAGAAAACATAATATAGCTTAAGGTACAAAGCTATGACTCTCTCTCCCTCTGCAAGTAAACAAGGCAACACCTGTTCCCTCAAAGCACTGATGGCGTATGTACCATACAATGAGCAGTGACACAGGGATAGCAGAACTGTTCAATGGGCAGAACACCAAGTGTACAGGGCTCTGGGCAACCATAAGGAACAGTGGAAATGAAAATCCGGATTCAATGACGTTCTCAATTGCATAACAAATGGAAAGCATGTGATTACACTCACTGAAGTCAATTGCCTTGATTTTCTACTACATCAGAATGAAACTTGTACCCAGTAGAAACTGGCAAACTTCAAGGAGGCACTGGCAGTGCCCTCATTCAGTCTCAGGTGCCTCTAATATCAATTACGACGGCACAGGGGAACCTTAAACTAGGCTCCCCTAGATCTGAGCTGTCTCCCTGTCCTGTTCCATTCATGTGAACATCGCCTATGGGACTTTCCTTCTCCTTTTGATCCTGAGAGTCAGGATCAATGGGCAGGAATGAAATCTGGGATCAAAGCCTAGGATTCTAGGATAATATACCATATTAACATTTTTGTACGTATGCAACAACCAACTTTCAGGGAACAAAAGTGGCTCTGGTGACTGCCAGCTGTTTACCAATGGAAATTCTTTTGTTGGGGGAAATTCTCTATTGACCTTTGCTGGTACAAGGGGATGACTTTCTTCCTTTGAAGTTACGCATGTGCTTGAAATAAGTCCACCATGAGATTGTGACTGACAAACTGCCTTTTCTCTATCTGCCTCTTGGAGTGGAGGGCTCTGTCTCTTGATCTGAGGCACCAGATCTAATAGTTACTAGTTCCACACTCTCCTTGCTTTTATTGAAGAACCCGCCTATTTGTAAAATGAGCATATTATGATTTACTTTAATGAAATCTTTGTAAAGAAAACACCCTCTTTGATTCTGTCTTTTAGAATACGAAGTCCTGACAATGCACAAGGACTGATGACTACTGAAGTACTGTGGCTATGCAGCATACCTGTGCAGTTAGCAGCTATTCTCCTGCTGCTCTACTGCATTAGTTTTCAGAAAATTCAAAATTCGTATAGGACACCATCTGTGGGCTATAAATAAGGGTGTTCTATTCATTTAAAAAGACAAAATTGGACGAAAGAAGTTGTAATATTGAAATTTATGCTCTAAACATTTGAGTATATTTTGTGTAATAGGTAAGACCTACACTTTTAAAAAATATTTACATGGATTTTCTGATGGAATAAAATTGACTGGAAACAGCTGGCTCTTAAATGCATGTTCATCATGCTGCTTCATTGAGGAGTACAGATAGGACAGGGAACATGTACACAGATTAAAAGAGTGACAAGAACTTGCAGTATTCTCCAAACCAAAGAACTGGACCAGCTACATGAGAATATCTGAGCCTTCAGAATTTGAGAAATGGGTTAAGCTCTAGAAAAATTAAACCCAACTGGGTTGAGACAGGTTCCTTGCATTTAAACAGGAAGTTTGGCAGGTTCAGAAATGGTTTATCCTAGGAATCAGAATGCAATGCTACAGTATGTAGATACCTAGGAAGTCAGTGAGAGAGACCAGTTTCAGTACAGCAGTTTTAGTGTATTTCTAATACTGATGACTTGTGGTTCAGGTACAGTAATTCAGGCAAGAGAAAAAGTTGTCAAAATTAACCTTCACAGCTAGGACTTCACTGTAAGTAAATGACTAAAGTGATTACTACCTTGTTTAATATCACCTGTGAGAAGAGACTTAATATAACAGAACCTCAAGATGAGTTCTTAACAAAATAAGATGTCATTACCTGTAGACTAGTCTACATCAGTGCTTTTAGGGGAAAATGTTAGTGCACACATTGAGTGAACTTTCT